GTATGCTGACTAAGCGTTCAGCCAAGATGACTCAACAAATACTTAATAGTTAAATAGTTAGGTAATAGTTAAATAAGAATGATTTAAGACACTATGATCTGCATTAAGTTTTTCTTTAACATTCACTTATAGCTTATCAAGCAGTAAGATATTTTCATAGGGATAAACAAAATCAATTTCTAATTATAAACACAATAAAAAGAGGACTTCTGTGTTTGCAGAACTGCCTGGTTGCTCCCTAAGACCTCTATCTCTACTGTTGTTTTCTTCCCTCCTGATTTTTTTTTGCAAAAGTATGACCAAAAAAAAAAGTCACCATCTATTTTTTTTAAAGAAGATTTATTTCGGATTAAGTGATTTCATGATGTAACATGGTTTTAAACAAAAATAGAGATCAGTATGAAAATAAAACAAACTGTACACATTAAAATATCTCTCCCTCCAAGCATTTCATAATCATAAAAAAATACAACACAAGAGTTGGGGTTCCGGTGAAGGTAAGAGTACAGACTTCTCAGAAAATGACCAACCAGTCCACGGTTCCGTCCTAGGCTCCAAACACCACCACCCATGCACCAGGTCTAGGGTGTCGACAGTCTGCATTATTTGCTTTATAAAGAAAGAAATTGAAATGTAAGGTGAAATGAGAGCTGTGTTATCTTAATCCTGATATCAAATATCTCCTGTTATTATTCTCCATTAAAAGTCACACCGAATAAATACGAAGCATGAATCAGCTCAACAAAAATAAAGACACCACTATTGACTGTGATGTATGGCGTGGAGGACATGAGTGGCATTGGCGAAGAGAAATGGAAAGGCTTAAAAAAAATATGCCACCTGTGCTCTGCTGAGATCTCAGAAAAGAATTTTTTATAGAGCCTTAATATTAAAAAATAAGCATCATTATAAAATTAGATTAATACTTTCAGTAAGAGGCAAGAAAGACGCACATGTTTTCATTCATTTTGGAATGCCTGCATCCCTATTATAAAAACATGTAATCTTATGCACTTTCCAACATATGAACAGGACCAAATTTGACTTAAGATATCATGTAAAGAAAAATAGGTTGTAATTGCCTCTGTTGGAGTATTAGGGTCCTGAAGGAGCGTTCAGCTCAGTGTGTCTTCCCGGTCATCCGCCAAGATGTTTCTTGAGCGTTATCTCTGGGGGGTTTTGTAGAAGGTGACAGCAAGCTGTTGCAGCTGATTGATTCAGTTTGAATCATGCAGCCCACCTGCTGACACTCCTCGGGGTTGCAATGTCTTCCAAGAGGGCTGGGTAGAAAGATGTCACCCGCCTAAGGCCACTGGACGTAGAAAGCCTGTCTACACATTTGATTCTCCTGCATTCCCAGAAGCCGTGTCCTGAGAGCTAGCCTCTCCCACTGAGCTAGCTGTCCAATCATGAACACCGAAGAAAGGACCTTGCAGAACAGATTTCCTGCCTGGATTCCTTTCTTGGCTGCAAACAAGGTTCAGGTCTCTGTTTACAACTCAGTGACCTCACCTGTAGGACTGCTTTCTAGAGGAACAGGGAAGACTGAAATATCCTGACAGCATGAAGGTGCCTCAAAAGCTAGTCCTATGGCCAAGGATGCCTGCTCAAGAACAAAATAAAGGCACTCTTCCTTCCACTTCACATATGGTATTCCATGAGATAATGCTAACACTTAGATGCAAATATAACATCGTCGCATCTCCTAGGCTCTAGGGAGCTTTAATATCTTGGGGCTTTAGTCCTTTTTTTGCAGTAAGGAAAATGCTAATCTGGTAAAGTGACAAAATGAGGGTGTTTCCTTCATCAACTAAATCAGAAAGCTGCCAAGTGGAGGAAGAGGGCTTGAAATTCAGACACAGATTGGAGTTTAGGCCTCCTGTGCATTGTTACTATTACACAGGGCAATATAACCTTTTAATAAGTTTTTAGGGATAGAGTTAAGTTAGGCAGACGTCTGTACTCTTCTTTGTAAGATGTTTGCTTGTTAGAAATGGCCAAGTTGTACATAATATTTGGACAAAAAGATAGGGAAAAAGTAATTTGGAAAGAAAGAAAAAAGGTGTTTTTTTCCTCCATACCAGGGGAATTCCACTATCAGGGCTTTCTAGATTCACCCTCATTAAAAATTAAAAGTGAAAAAACATGGCTTCTGGTTAGCGCTTTTTCCCTAAGCTCTTGCTTCCAACTTACATTTAGGAGAGCTAGTGCGCCTGCTGAAGCAGGCCAGTTCTGCCTCCGGTGGCAAGCATCTCGCGGAATTTTCAGAAGGTGTCACATGTTTAGTGTGTTTATTTAAGAAAGTGAGAGTTCCGTCGGAAGTAACCAAACAGACCAGTACAACCGTTAGTCTCCATGTTTCTTGGGACGAAGCCCAGAATTTTGACCTCCAAGTCCTGCAACGGACCCTGCACAGCTACCCACAAAAGTCATGGTCAAACCAGGCAGCTCTTGAAACTAACTGCAAAGCAACCCAAAGCAACAATGGCCTAGCAGCCCTGCGCAATCCTACACGCTGACAAGAGTATTCTGCCTTCACCATCACCGTGGTGAGCTGATCCCCAGCTATCCTGCTGCCTCGAGACTGAGCTCTAAGGAATGCGAGCGTCCTTGCAGCTGTGCGTTCCAATTCTGCAAAACCTAGTTCTTTCTAACTCGTCAGATTTTCTGGATTTCAGTGATTACCCAGACCCATTCATTCTTCCTGTGCACAGGAAAAACGTTTTGATCCTCTCAGTGGCTTGGATGCGAAGACCATACTCTGAAGGTGCATCATAGTACGGGTGGGAGGACAAGGGGAAAGGACGTTGCTTTGGCATTTATTTGTTAATCTGAAGATCCCACGGCTGCTCCTACACACTTCAGCTCTTCACACCCACACCGCCGTGTGTGTGTGTGTGTGTGTGTGTGTGCGCGCGCGCACGCGCGCGTGCCCTGGGGTGTCAACACTTGAGCAGGCTTAATGCTCTATCAGCTGCCCTTCTGGCCATCAGCAACAGCCATTTAGGAGGCTTATTTTACGCACTGCCCCCATAAAAAAAGCCATGACTGATGGAATCCCCAATTGGATAGGCTGTTCTCTCTTCATTCCTTGGTGGTAGAACTTAAGACCATTTATTGAAAATGCCCTTTCTGGAGGGCTGGTGTCTTGGATTCTGTGAACTGTGAGCTTCTCACAGACAGGCTTAGCAGTCTGCAACTCCCTTATCGAATCCAGAACAGCTCCTGGTGCCATCGGCTCCCTGCCCTCTACCCTGAGGCGTTCTACCTACACCTGGGGCGTGGCCTGACTGCCTTTCAGAGTGTAAAGAGCTTGCTTATGAATTTCTGAAGACCAAAAGCCAGGGATTTGTCTGGGTTACAGTCCAGAACATACTTAGGGACATTTCTAGTTGTAGAGTATACTGAAGTCTAATTTATCCCGTGGAAGTATTATTTAATATTTCATTATTTCATTTCGGCTATTATTGCTGATTTTTGTTTTACTAATGAAGAATACTAGGTAGATTCTCATTTTCTAATAAGCAAAGTACATGTCTGATAATTCCCAATTTTGAGCACAGTGTCAACTATCGGTGATTCTAACTAAGAATGTCTGCGTAATTGGAGAACTGTTGAGAAGTTGGATGCCTTAATAAAGAAATGTATTTGTTAGAAATTATTCAAGAGATACCTTTTATTTCAAGTCTCTTTTCCCTAGTAGTATGACATATGATAACAAGTTTCTCAAACCAAATGAACGCTAAAATGGTCTATGAATGGAAATTTTTTTTTTAAAAAAAAGAAATGCAAACCTTCATATCAGCTGTGTAGACTGTCAACTCTGAAACATCAAAAATGTGATTTTTCTCTTAAAAAAGCATGTTAGTGTGTTATACTGTTTTTCCTTATAATGAAAAAATACAAACAAGTAAAAACCATTTGCAAAATTATATAGTTATATTCATGATCCATAAATACAAACTAATAATTCCAGTTAAAAGTTATCCTCTGCCCTTTTTCTCCTGTCCCAATTATTGCATACAGATAAATCGATCTTTCTTTCCAGGTTTCTGTGACTTGACTTTTTACAACATCTGCCCACTGCTTTCCATTATCTACCTTTAGTGGGGAGATGTGCTTTTGCTGGCATGGCCCTTGGGAGGGTCCCTAACCAGAAAGCACTCAGTTCTTACAAAACACCTGTGAAGATAAGCTGATGACATCCCTGAAACACAGGACAGCCAGCACCTGTCATCGGAATCCCGCAGCTTCTGCCAAACGTGGCTGTCAAAGAAATCTCCTCACAATGCCTCGAGCCCGAAGGCCGGCCAGCCCCAAGTCACCACAGCCAGCACCTTCGCAGCCTCTTTTCAACTTGTGTGTCTGACTAGTTATGGCCAGAAACCAAGGGGTGAACTGCAGGCAGAATAATCCCCAAACAACTAAAATGCAGGATATCCTCTCACAAAATGAAGCAGAAATAAGAGTAGTGATGTCATGCGGTTTTTGTGATACCATAGAAAAATTGTTTTTTTTGATATTAATAAGAAAATTATGCATCAGTGAAAATGCGGGCTTAGAAATATACAGCCAAGAGATTGGATCTGTGGCGCCCTCACTGCTGAGGGAAAATGGAGTTCTTACTACCCGAGAGCGCGCGTCCCTCAGGTGTTGCCGATGGCTCCCTAGCTGGGCTTAGTGTTTCATGACGCTGTACAAATAAAAAGCAGTGGGGAAGTACGAAATCTCTGTATTAAATGCCATCCTGGAAAGTATCTGATGGATGGAAGAGAATCTAATGCATTTTAAATAAATGCATATTATACTATCACGTAGAGTGAGTGTTAAAAAATTATTACTGAGGTGCACAGTCCTTGGAGTGGCTGACGTGGCACTGTGAGGGAGGTCCGACTTGGAAGCTAGTTTCTATGACACTGTTAGGTGATGCAGTTGCTGTTTGTCACATCGTAGCGTCCCTTTGACTTTGGTACATTCAGTGCAAAATATTTCGGGAATTATTTTTTTTTTACCTTTATAAAAATAAAAGGCCCTTTTGTTCCCTTGAGAGTGCTTAAAAGGATACAGACTAACATGATGCCCAAGAAAGCATGGAACACGTCAATGGGGGAGACACCCGGGGTGATGGGAGGCTCTTATGTACATCTCACGGAACAGAAACACAATGAACCCATCAAAAATAAACAGAACTCACTGTGTACATTTTCCTGATAGGCTGTGATTAATTGCTATTTTAAAATTGTTTTCATGCATTATAAAGCATAGAATCTGTCCTTAGTAATTCATTGACTATCAGCCAGCTTCAGCTGTAATTACACACATACCATTTGCATACACATTGTCACAAGCCACCTTATTGCAAGTCTTCCAAGTTACCTTATTTTGCCTGGGGTTCAGGTTCGCTTGGGTCCCATGAGGGCTACGACACGGAGTGCGCACCATGCAGACACTTACAAGCAAGAAATGAATATTCCACTGTAACTTGGGGCGTAAATGAATGTACTTTCAGGAAATATACTTTTTTATTATATTAATAAGTTGCTCTGATTTGGAGATTGGGCCAAGTGCTGCCAGTGGGGCTCGAACCACGTTCAAGGGTAAGTTTCAAGGTTCTCCTGAGTCCCTACCAATTACCGTGGAGCTGGTCGTGGACAGGTTCGCCTTTGTCTTGGAGCATAAGAAATGGAAAATGTTTGGCAGTCAAGAACTGTTGATTGAAAGACCGTCGCGTTGTTTCCTGGGCATCAAGCTGCCCCTAATCCTTGCGAGAGGTGCGTGGCCCATCGCCAGCGGAGAGCACGAGTTCCTGGAGGCGACCGCGCTGGGCCGGCTCCGCCGGAGCCTGCTCCCCGGGCGCTCGTTCGTGTCCAGCCTGGCTCCTGGCGGCCAACCTCGGAATCGCCTGTCCCCAGCGAGCGGGGCTCCGGGGCGCAGCTCACTCGAGCCCGAAGGTGCTGGTTTCCTCCACCGCCGTCAGCAGCTTCTCGTACAGCATGGAGAAGGACGGGTACGGGGGCAGGTCCAGGCGGTTAAAGCACGTGTGGGCTCTGCGAAGGGAAGCAGGAGCAGAGGTCAGGCCACGGGGGAGACGAGCGTGCGTGCGTGCTCGTGCGTGCTTGTAGTTCATATACACATCTATTCATTGTCAGTGTTCACATTCCTTTTAGAGACAACTCCGAAAATATTTTGACTTAAAGATTTAAAATATTTAAATATTAAACCTTTGGGTTGAGGTTTTAGCTCAGTGGTGCAGCGCCTGCCTGGCAAGCTTGAGGTCCTGAGTTCAATTCCAGGCAGCTCCCCCCCCCACCCCAGACACACAAAGACACAGGACCGAGTTCTTTAAAGAAAGGAAGTATTTTAGTGCTATTTTCCTTACATGTTTGACAGCCATTTCAAAGCTATGTTCATATGTGCTACTATTGGTTGTGTGTGAACGGACAAAAGCAAATCTATTTTTATGTCTGTTTTGCTTTGCCTTTGGTGTCAGACCTTTTTTTTTTTTAAGCTATAAAAGCTCTGGCTATAAGGCCATGGACAGTAACTCACTGCCCATGTCAGCCACCGCCTGGCTGTCACTCTCTAGGGCTTGGCAGGGTCCCACTGTCAGGCAGGGAAGCACACAACATCTCAACTGCCCCTGGCTCAGAGTTCTGGGAAACCCCCTGGCTGGATGGTAGCAACCCAAGTCAGCAGGCCATTGTTCCTTCTCTGAATCTCATGCTAGGATCTATCTTCCCTATTCACAGTGCAGAGGGGAAAAAGCCCCTTTAAATCACTCATACATGGAGCATTTTAGACCTAGCTCCTCTTTTGCCAGGATAGGAAAAAAATACGGTTTCCTGTTATTTGCACCTGAATCACAATAAAAAATGGTCTCTAAATAGCACATCTTATCAGGGTGCAAATCTGCACTGCTGACGCGGAATAGAAAGCATTCTGCTCTGAACACGTGCTTCAGCTAAAGCATCTGCAGTTTAAAAATGTTCCTGAATTTATATGAAAATTTAAGAACTAGGACCAACAGGTTACTTCTCCCAAATAAACATGTTCAAACATTTCTGTTTACAGGCACTTTTATTTATGAAATATGTATCATTCGCATTCCTAGATGTGGGGGGCACAGTGGGAAGATAAGAACTTCAGAGCTGGAGAGAACTGGGTTTGGACCCATCTACCCCATAGCTGCAGTGTGGACTGAGTTATCAAAAGGTGAACTCTCAATGTTGTCACATGTCACTGTACAACTTGTCTCAGAAAGTTGTGCTCATTAAATAACACAAGCAGGCTTCACAGAATGCCTGCTCGCAGTCTTTGCCTACTTATGAATAGACAGATTATTGGCTACATTTCCTTGTCATGCAAAGGATTTACTCTAATTGCCTTCAATAAATTACCAAGAAGTAACAATGGCCCGTGGAAAGTGTGGGGTAAAGAGGGAGACACTAAAGCCAGTGTGTGGCCACGTGGCTTATCAGGTACAGGAAAGTAACAAGGTCCGTGGAAGGCCAAGGTTAGGACGCAGAAGTGCCAGGCCTCACCATTTGCCCATGCTCCACGATCTGGGAGGGTCAGCTGGAGAGTGTCCCATTAATCACCGCAGGCAAATCTTTTTTTTAGCCCAGTAAACATTCCAGAATTGAATTTAATACACTCCTATTGTACACCTCTTTACACTAGAACCAAAGCGTGGACCTCGAGGAAGAGGTTTTACTTTTAAAAACTCAGCGAGCACACTAAAAGAGTCTAGGAGTTCTCAAAATGGTTCCTGTCTGAAATGCTGGGGTACAAATCTGCTCTGGGGAGATGGAGAAGTAGGAGATCGGTGCAGTGTTTTTGAACAGAACCACCCTCCAGACTCCATGTGTTGGACACGGGACATCCTGTATCCCATGAAACACAAGGTGCTGCCTCTTCAACCTTTTTCAATTTTCACTCCCTTGGTGGCAGCAAGGTGCAGTGTCTTCGTCGCCGGCTGCCTGCCTGCTTGCTACACTGCTTGCTCCGTACTCTGTTTACCTCCTTGGCCTGCTTCTCTTTTCTTTCCGCTGTTGTTACTGTGGTAAAATGTACAAAGTGTAAGATTTACCACCGTAAGGATTTCTAAAAGCATGGAGTTGCAGCGTCAGTGTGCTGACTCCGCTCCGCGACCGCCATCACCGTCTACCTGCGGACCTTTGTCATCTGCTCAACGGTAGCTCATTTCTCCCTCTAGCCAGTGCCGAGGACCCACCACTCTACGCTGTCTGTTTTTGACTGCTGCAGCACACTTTGTATAAGCGGAAACATCCACACATTTGTATACTGGGCCTGGCCTATTTTACTTAGTATAATGTTTTCAAGGTTCATGCTGAGATGTGGATCAGAACTGCTTTCTTTCGAGAACTGCCTTTCTGCCTCGGAGCCCACTGTATGCACAGATCACATGCGCTTTACCTGGTCCCCTGCTCACAGCCATGAGGCACTCCCACATCCTGGAGGCTGTGAAGAAAGCTGCTATGAATGTGGGGATGAAGATGAACTTACGTCCTGCTTTCCCTATTCTGGGAGATATGCTGAAAAGTGGGCCTGAGGCAAGGGAGACAGTGATGCAGCCAGCGCAGCCCACTCCCGAGGGCAGGCAAGGAGGCGAGGCTGGGTTCAGAGCATCCTGTCCTTCTAGGAGTGAGCAGAGAAGGGGGACTCTGCTGTCTCCCTGCAGCCTTGCGACACCTTTGTGAACACCTCGGCACCCATCCGGCACCCCACAAGCCTGCACCCTCTTCTCAGTCCCCACCCAAAGGGAAGAAAGGAACCGCTTTTCGCTCCCCTCCAGACAAGAAAGGCTGCTCTCTGACTGCTTGCTGCACCCCACCTGGCCGTGCAGACCGCAGTCGCCATCACACAGATGTCCTTCTGAGAGACCCAAATCGCTTCTCTGAAAGACGCCCAGTGAGGAGGGGATGGAGTATGTTGTGTAGGAAAAGCTGGGGAAAGACTGAATGGTTCCTTGGGGTCACAAACAAGCCCCTGGTCCAATCCAGCATAGGAGCTTATGCCCTGGGCTCCTAGGGGAAGCCCAGCACGAAACTGAAAGCAGGCAGGCCCTCTGCCTGCCAACTTCATTTTTTTAAATTCCAGAAACGGGGATGTGAATTTCACACCACTCTTGACTAGGAACGGCCAGGCCTCAACAACCTACCAGCTCACCTCCACTCTGAGCACAGGGAAAGCCAAGAGAAGCTGCAGGTGGTTTTTAAAGGAGCAAGTGAATCACAGTACGCAGGACCTCTCAGGAAAAAGGTCAGGCCTGGGTTAGTCCAGAAAATCTTGGGGGATACCAGGGGATTTTTAAGTGATCTGACTATTAGAATTCAATCTCAGGCTTACTGAAAAGGAGGCACTCAAAGCTGTACTCGGGAGTGCCTCAGACTCGCCTGAGGAGATTTTTGTTTCAATTGTTTCAGTCTGTTTGGGGACAGGGTCTGAATATGTAGCCCAGGTGGGCTTGAACTCCTGATCCTCCTGCCTTCTGAGTGCTGGGATTCCAGGCATGGCCAGCACACCCAGCCATAACACAGGCTTTTGGGTGTGTCCCTTGCAATTGTAACTCAGAAGGTTTGGAGGGGGTCTGGGATTCTTCGTTGTAATAATCACTTCAAATGGGCCTGATGTAGGCAGCTGCCACTATCAGAAAGACAGCAAGCAGATTAGAAATAAGCTATCTCCCCTGGATGCTCATACCAATGTTTTGTGTGCTCAAAAACATTTCAGAGCTGCTTCTAAACAAGACAACATTACTAATAAGGAAATTGAGGAATAGTGTGGTTAAACCAATTGCCCAATTTTTACCATCAACTTGCTCTATGAGCCAAAAACAGGAAGGAAAATAAGCAAAACAAAACAAAATCCACTGCCATCTCGGCCCCATTCCAGGTCCTAAGAAAACTACTAGAAAATAACAGGAGGGCCACTGGGCTGTGCTGGTGTCGGCAGCAAAAGGGCACCAGCCATTAAGTCTCTGCCAAAGAACACTTTCAAATCTTTGAAGCCAGCCACACTGGAACTGTGCAGAGTTCATCTGAGTTTAATCCATGGAGCAGGAGCAGTTCCAGAGCAGGCCTGGGCCCATCTTTGTGAAATCATGCTGGCATCGAAATCAAGAAGATTTTGAAGCCAGCACACACCCGGTCTGCTCTACTAGGTCTCTTGGTGCTTTCTGGGTCCTCCGGATGCTAAGCAGGAGCTCACGTGCTCACTCTGTCTCCTCTCCTGTACACAGGTGAGGTGGTTCTCCAAACCCAGCGGGCCGGAAGAACCCCCGTCAGATCTACATTTCCACAGACTGGTGCATGCACATGAATGGCTTATTCACTTAGAACCCATTCTCCCTGGAGTGATTTTTTGCATAAGCTAACCACTCCAACGACTTGGCTTATACACCATGTGATGGCCAACGTCACCAGCTATCTGCGCGTGTGAATAGCCAACACTTTGCTCCCTGGGTTTCGAGGTCCACGTGCACTGAGATCAATTTGTATTCTCGCAAGCTTTGCCTCTTGTAAGGACAAGATCCAAACTATAAGACAAGGAAGAGATTAAGGACAAGATTTTAAAATAAGAGAAGGAAGGAGAAAACCATGAGCCTTACAGAGGAGGTGTGGTCCTAGGCATGAAGTGGCTCTACACCAAACAACTCCTTCTATGTGCAGTAAATTTAGAAAGTGTCAGCATTCACTTATTTTTTCACTTGCCAGTGGTTTGTAACCCTTCATATTTCAGTTTGTCTTTCCGGTTTCCATCTCTTCATTGAGCAATTAATCAAAAACAAATGCTAAAAGTAAGCTGGAGAATTCCTGGGGAATCGGGAAATACATCACTTGTCAGCGTCAAGAGCTTTTTGGAAATGTGTGTTCTCCTAACTTAAAATCTGGCGGGTCTAAATCTTAACTGTCTGAAAGTGTGTTCACAGGTGTGTTCCCTGGGGTTCTGGTGTGCCCACAGTTCTTGCTGTCATCCTGTGCAGGAGCTGACAAGTCGTGCTTCTTCTGAGCATCCCGAAGGCCAA